ACATAAGATATGCCATAGCAAGCCCCTTTAAATAAACACCCATCAACCCCTACTGCTTTTCTACACCCAATTAGAAACCTTTTTACATGCATCAAAACACATGTAAAACCTCTGAAAAGATATGGGCTATCCGTTTCACATAGATCCAATTCTACTGTAACTATGTTACCTGGGTTTGTTTTGAGCTGCTCTAACCGACAGTTAAAAAACTTTTGAATACTCTCCTTCTATAGAATGCAACATTTCCTGCATGGCCATTTTCTTTGCCCTCTTGCACTATGCAATGGTCACATTAGCAAAGAGCTCCTCAAGCATTGTTTTCCTTATGTCTCATTGCTTCCAATTGGGATTTGCTCCGATAAGCCTGGCATATTTGCTAGCAACTACAGTTGATGTGACTAGTTTCTTTTCTCTTCGTGGAATGCAATGGTTCTCGTCCATAAAGGTTGAGACCTCTTGCATATCATCAATGCTAATGTTTATGTCTTATTCTGCATCACTAGCATACTTTGCTAAAAGCAGTTCATCCACCAAATCTGTTTCCACAATCATAACACTGATAAAAGAAAATTTGCTTCATTTGTGCATGGAATAATTTTCAGCAACTTTAACTGGAATGAGGACCGCATCATCCTAATTTGTCTAGTCTATGTTATTTGAATTCCTCTGCTCCACTAGTTCTAAATATGTTCTCTCTACATCTTTTGAATTCCCTCCACTGTAGTTCCTTCGTTTCCCTACTTTGCATTTTGCACTAACACTTTCTCACTTTCCTCCACATACATGTCAGCAAATTCCCCATAAGTTGGTCCAATGTCCACCTTCTTAGCTGATGCATCATCATGAAAAAACAACACACAATTGGTGAGTATTTTGTCAGGAACTAGCCGGTGCAGTTGGTAACTCCAGTGCCCTCTTTCCACATGATACATATTAGTAGCATGTGCCAAAACTTCTGCATAACCCAGTCTGGTTCTGTCCACAAGAATCTCAACCTCCAGCCGATTAACTTTCAACAATTTCCAAAATAGTGAAACCAAGCAAAAAGATAATCCATACCATCTGGTGGATCTTCAACACGTGTTTCAAAATTATAAAGCTTTGATCAACACAGAATTCAGAGCAATCACTTCATAAATCACATCAACAATTGTTGCGAAAATAGACCCCTCTTTTCTCCTTCTTTCCCTTTTATAGAAACAATCGTTTTTTTCATGAACGGTCGCATGTTTATGATCATGATCATGCCAAACAAACCCCACTTGATCATTCCCAACCCCTGTCCGATCAAAAATAAAACACCTGATATGATCACGCCCTAAAACCCTACCCTTCTTCCTCCTATCTGACTAGGGCAAGGAAACCCTCAAAACGCCACCTCCCCCTCCCCCAGTCAGACCAGGGCACCGGAAGAGGGGAAGAGGAGAAGGGGGGAAACATGTAAGGTCAACGTCATCGACTTACGTGCCCCTCCCCTCTTTTGTTTTGACAGTTTTCAGAGTTAAAATTACGTGGTATTTGAGTCAAGGGGGATATGGATCCATCAAAAATGACTTTTTTTTGAATGTTGGTAGAATCTACCAAATTCATTGATCAGAGAAAAAGGACAGGGGGTGGGCTACAGATAGTAGCACCAAAACAAGAGCGGGCGGGCACAAGCGAAAGGAAAGAGAAACACAAAAAACACCACACTGCCTACAGATTTAGCCAGGATCGAAAGGAATCCCAGCTCCCGCGAGATTCCAGAGTGTGATCTCCTCTCTTAATCTAGTAACGAAAGAGTCTAAGCACAGAGCTTCCTGTTGGAAGGTCCTCCTGTTCCTTTCCTTCCACAACTCCCATGGGACAAGATGTAGCAAGGACAGTGTTCCTTTCTTCTTCTCCTTAGCGGCTTGGTTGTGACAGTGTGCCATCCATCCGATGATGCTTGTCTGATTGTTCCAGGATTGTGGCTGGAGCGTCGACATGTTGGTTAGGCGTGCGATCTTGCCCCAAACTTGTTTGGACCATGGGCAGTCCCAGAACAAATGTGCCGTTGTTTCCAGGTTTCGCTCGCATAGTGTACAGAAATAGTTGTTCTTCCATCCGCGGCGCAGCAAGACATCGGCAGTTAGGATCCTCCCAAGCGCCGCAGTCCAGATGAAGAACCGACATTTCTCAGGCGCCCACGCCCTCCAAATTAGATTGTAATTCTCCGTGGGAACCGAGCCCTCGAACTGCAGAAGGTAGGCCGATCTCGCTGTGTACTCATGTGACTCCGTGAAACGCCAGACGATCGAGTCGTCCTGTCCATCGTGCAGTTGTACTGTATCAAGCAACGCCGCAAGCCGCAACAGTTCCGGTAGCATTTGGTCGGTCAGTCCCCTAGAAAGGTCCGAGAGCCAAGTTTCTGCCTGCAGCGCCTCATGGATCGTTCTGTTTTTTCTTGCTGAGATCTTGAAAAGAGCAGGTGCAATGGTTTTGGGGCATTGTCCAAGCAACCAACGATCATGCCAAAAGTTGGCCCGTTGACCATCTCCCACTGTAACCTCAGTTGCCATGGCGATCAAAAATGACTTTTAGGGTGCAAAATACGCTTCCTCTTTCCCTGAAACGTGGCTGCCCGGTTTAAGTGGTTAAACTAGAGGTCGAGTGGTCCATGTGATTCTGAACCTCAAGTCTACCCCTCCATAAATTTTTTCCCAGAGATTCAGAACAAGGACCGGTGTCCTCCTACAAATGACAGGAAAGTACTCCATTGATGGCGCGTTTACGTCCTGACAAAATCTTGCGTCTGCTGCCTCCATGGAGATCTTCCACTGTAGCCGCAGCATTGCTATACTCCCTCCATTTCAAAATATAATGCGTCCGCGTTTTCCGAGGTCTAACTTTGACCATAAATTTAACCAATGAGACTAACTGCGGCGGGAGAAAAAATTATATAATTGAAAACTTCTTTCGAATGCGAATTCACTGATATAATTTTTGCTCCCGCCGCAATCGGTCTTAATAATTAAATTTACGATTAAAGTTGAAGCACGGGAATAGAGAAAGCACTACATTGTGAAATGGAGGGAGTACAAAGCTACGGGCACCGACCAGTGTCCAGTCAATGCAGTTCAGTAAAGATGGGTTCTCTTCTCTTGTGTCTCGAGGAAAGCTGGATTTTACCCTTGGCATTTGCCGTGTCGTGGACAGATGGATGGATGGAACGTCCTGTCTGCTCCAACAGTCACACACAGCGCAGCAGACGGCCCCCTTCTCTCTGTACTGCGGACTTTCACAGCTCGTGCATGTGCATCTTTTTCACAAACAAGATAGAGAGAAAAATGAGAGAGAGTGGTGGCATGGGGCGTGGAGATGGAAGAAAGATATAGGATTCTTTTCAGCTTTTGCTGCCACATGTCCGTAGCGGAATTGCATGCAATGCATGGGATTCCATCCCAGCCCATTCCAGCAATTCTCACTGTAGAAGCGCCGCGCTTTGTCGATTATGCTTTGTTATGGTGATTCATTTTACCTAGCTTAATACTAGTGCGCTTCATCAATTCCCACTCTAGTGCCCATAAGAAAGTGCCTATATCGAGGTGAAGGAGCATGCAGTATGACGGGATATTATTAGTGTCGTGCTCAGCACTGTTGGCTCCTAGACCATAGGTTGTATGGAAGCCAAACCAAGGGTCAAACCAAAAGTGGGACCTTTTCACGGCGAGCTACACTGCCGCTGTTAGGCTCCTGTTTTTAATCACATGAGCGTACTGTAGTGATCTAGCATGATTAAGAACACAGGCCGGCTAAGCTTCATAGTATATGTTTCAAAGAAAAAGATAAGCATGAGGAACTGTCTGATTTGGGAATGCTTATCCTGTAGATTCGGGCATGATGGTGCGATCGTATCTTAATGGGTGGGGTAATCTCATCTCATGATTAAAAGCCAACATTTGTTTCAGCAGCGCAGCGAGCAGAGTCGAGACTACTACTACTACTACTGTAGCTCATCACCAGCTCCCTTGCCTAATCACTAGCGGTAGTAATGAAACGGTGATTAGAAAATGAGTAAACACGATCGCCGCACCCAACTAACCTTGGTCCCCCCGTGGTGTCGTATCCCCGTTAAAAGAAGTGAGATAAATAATGCCACGAACATGTGCTCCGGAGAAAAGAAGGTCCCAGACATCCATTCCATCCTCCTCTCCTCTCCTGGCACAAGAAACAAATGCTCAAGGTGGGTGCTGCATAGTAGCATACAAAACAGAGAACAGTGCAACCATCACAGTTTCCGTAACATGGGTAGGCTCCAAATTATCAGATGATAAACAAATCAAGTAGTACTACGCCAAAGATAATTTCGTCCTAAAAAAAAAATCAGACGACGATGAAATGTCCTCGGGTGGCAAAAAAGACAATCTTGTGCTATCATAGTATTTCCGTCTGAAACACATAATTTCCTCTTGATTGATCTCCACAAATCTTCAGAATTGTACTCCGAATTCGGCAACCATCCGTGCGTGCGTGTAGTTGGACAAAACCCGGGGGATGACGAAATGTCCTCTGACAGGGACAATTTCGTGCTGTCAAACAAACAAATTAGGTCCATAATTTTTTTTTTAGGAAAACCGGCGTTTCAAACGGTACTACTGTGATTGCCGTTTGACGTGCAATTTACGCAGGAAATAAAAACGAGGCCATGCCAGGAAAGCCAAATTTTGCTTTTGGGCGAAACAGAGTTATTCTGGCAGTAAAGGATGAGCAAAGGACGAGCAGAGCACAGCACAAGAAGCGGTGGGGTCACGAGCCCCCGGCATCAGCAACAGTAAATCTGACGCCACCCCCTCGGCCACACCGTCGCTCACGCTCCACTCGGTCGCCGACGCGTGGGCCAGGGTCCAACCTGTCATGGACTCGGCGCACGGCCAACACTGCCCCGTCCGTTACGATTCGGCCGTGACATCCTCTCGCCAAAAGATGAGCATGCCCCTGCTCTTCACAGGTATCTACGGCTGTAGAGCCACCGACGGGCGATGGCACGCCGCCCGAGGCGCGGCCAGGCCTCCGATTTCCTCTACGCCAGTCTCCACCCAGGCCTCGCGGGGCTAACCATCCGTCGACTTCGGCCGTATTTACGCGCCCTGCCACTGCGCTGCCCCTCGTCTTCTTCTTGCTCCTGCGGCCCCTCCACCCCGCCTCCCCCCGCTTCGCTCGCGTCATTAATGCGGCGGCGGCGGCGGTGCTGGTAAATACCGGGAGCGGACTGGAGCGTGGCGGTGCCGGTGCCTAAAGGCTGTGCCGCTTTTCGTCTCCTCCTCGTCGTCGTCGGCGGCGGTGGACGGCTTCGGGGTGGCAGGGACGTAGGGTAAGCTTCCTTTCGGTTCGAATCCCCACCTTTCCTCTTCTGCTCGTGCTCGGTTCCCTTCTGGTTGTTCGGTTCGCGTGTCGCCGAGATTCTCTGATTCTTCCTTTTCTTTTCTTTGCCTTCTTGAGGTGCATTCCTC